AATTAAAGATGATTTTTCGAAGATTGATTCGCTAGTGTGAGATTTTTTGAGCATCTAGAATTGAGATATAGATGTGTCGCCCCCCTCGGTCTAGACCTCTTCAACTTCAGTAATCACAACCCTAATCATTCGACCATGGTGGGATTCTTCGACTCCTGCAGGTCTTATAATCTCATCCGAGACATTCAATGAATTGTTCTTGTCACCTGTACTCCGGGTTCTAGTATTGCAGTATATCATGATTCATTAGAATCACCCGTCGACTCCGGGTTCCACACTACGAAATTCGTATTGCGTACTTAATCCCTAATACCCCGGACAGACTATGGCTTATATCATGTAATATAGGCTGTCTTGCAATGAGCACTCATATATCTAGTTTTCACTGGAAATCCTATGTATGAGTGCTCATTGCAAGACAGCCTATATTACATGATATAAGCCATAGTATGTCCGGGGTATAACATTACAGCCTATATCACGTAATATAGACTGTCTTGCAATGAGCACTCATACATAGGATTTCCAGTGAAAACTAGATGTATAAATGCTCATTGCAAGACAGCGTATATCACGTGATATACGCTGTAATGTGAATGGGGTATAATATAATAGGGTTTTTTCACTGGCTAGGCTTTATAGAAATCATTCGGCTTTAGACAGGTTCTATAACTCAGGTTTCTTACTGACTCAGATTTAAAAATCCTCCGCTCAACGTTCCATTTCATAATCCATTCAGCATTTTTGCTAGGTTCTATAACTCTTGGTATAGATCATTGAGGGCTTTACTGAAATAAGAGTGTCGGGGGTCTAGACCGAGGAGGACGACTCTATCTACGATGCAGAAAAGATTGTGTTTCGCTGTGGCTAGCTGCACGCACGCTGTGGAGGATTTTTGTTGATTTTGAAGATTTCCTGCAAAAAGATGAAGCGCGATGCAAGTAGATGCGAGAAATGAAAGATGATTTTTCGAAGATTGATTCGCTAGTGTGAGATTTTTTGAGCATCTAGAATTGAGATATAGATGTGTCGCCCCCCTCGGTCTAGACCTCTTCAACTTCAGTAATCACAACCCTAATCATTCGACCATGGTGGGATTCTTCGACTCCTGCAGGTCCTATTATCATAGAGGTAACTCTAAGACCACTGGGTCCCGAAGAAAATCATTATTATTTTTGGCTCACTCAGTACCAGAACAACGGTCCCAAGCAGTCCCAAGCTATTTCACTCACCCCTGCATGTTCTGCATGAATCCACACACCCCTGATGTTATCTGTCAGAATTTCAACTAGAATAGGGTACGTTAATCGTTTGCTTGGGACCAATAGGCTACTAAAGTGGTGAGCCAATTTAGGCTGTGAACCATTTGCCGAGTTAAATTTAACTCGTGGTTAAAAGTGACATTTCGAAAGTTATTTTCTATGTTCGAAAATCCCCGTGCTGTCGATCGACCGGTTTTCGAGCCACGGTTGTCAAAATTTAACTTCTTGTCTGTCAGAAATAACCATGCTCGGATAGCAGGGTTAATCGATAACTTTTCATCTGTCAAATTTTAACCAAAAGTTAAAATAATCCACCAAATGGTTCAGAGCCTTAAAATCGTTAGTTTCGTATTGATTGTTGCTATTATCTCCTCCGAGGCATTCGATGAATTGTTCTTGTCACCTGTACTCCGGGTTCTAGTATTGCAGTATATCATGATTTATTATAATCAACCGTCGACTCCGGGTTCCACACTACGAAATTCGTATTGCGTACTTAATCCCTAATACCCCGGACAGACTATGGCTTATATCATGTAATATAGGCTGTCTTGCAATGAGCACTCATACATCTAGTTTTCACTGGAAATCCTATGTATGAGTGCTCATTGCAAGACAGCCTATATTACATGATATAAGCCATAGTCTGTCCGGGGTATAACATTACAGCCTATATCACGTAATATGTCTTGCAATGAGCACTCATACATAGGATTTCCAGTGAAAACTAGATGTATGAGTGCTCATTGCAAGACAGCGTATATCACGTGATATACGCTGTAATGTGAACGGGGTATAAGAGTGGGTCACTGAATCATCATCGTTGTGATCAGTGCTGTAAATTCTCAAAATCATTTAAACAGTTTTGATGAAAATGAGGAAAGTTCGCTATCAAAGGGTTATATCAGTTGCTTAGTCATTTGACGAAGGCATGGATCATTCTCATTTGAGAAACGCTATATATCATTCAATTGAGTTTAACCTACACATAAACGGAACTCTGGTCGACATTCCGGCGAAAAAGCTAAGCCAACACCACACCAACCTGACTTCTACCAAACCCCAACCCGATGTTGACGCGACATAAACCCAAAATTGACCCGTCAAAAACGACATTGGGTCGACATCTACCTTAAATTAGCCTTACATTGATCCGGCATCGGGTCGACTTGTCTGTTTGTTTGATTGAATATTTCCGAATCTTACCATTGGCCAGGTCATCGTATTCGAATTTCCTTCTTCCGATTTTTCTATCTTCCGAGTCTTCCAATTTTTTTTTTTTTTTACAGTAAATCAAGGCTACTTTAATTTGTCCAGATTACTAAGATCCTACAATATCGAATTTCAAATGGATCATATCATTCGAGCAGCTTAATTTTGACATTTCCTACCACTCGAACTTTGCCGTGAAATAAAATATTTTGATTTTCTTTTCTTCTAGACCTCGAGAAAATATGGTCTTACTTATGTTCTCTCCAAAAATTCTGCAAACTGTTGTAACTATGGTAGAAGGTCGTCCCAAAACTGTTCGACTATATGATTAATTAACCCCGTAACGTGGGTAGATCACTTTTTCGTGGTACGTTACGGGATGTAAGATCTACCACGGATTCCTAGTCCTGACTACTTCAAATTAGGGGATCAGGATTTTTCAGTCCTTAGTCCTTTACTTTTTAGGCCTTGTTGATAGTGACAAGAGTCGGCTTAGTCCACCGAGGATAGTCTTGAAACATCTATGTGATTCCTAATCTTCTATTCGTTGTTCCCTAGTTTGTAGTGGTTAAGATTAGGTTTCTGATGCAGGGTCATTATCAATGTTATTTCTTAATTTTATTGCTAAGGAATCCAATTTTGACTGACAAAGAGGCGCACCTCTGGAGGGTGTTTTAACACTCCGAAAGGTATAAATAGCGGGACTTTTCAATTAGAGTCGGATCCTTGCCATAAATGCAAGAATGGCAACTGTAAAAAAAATCGAATACTTTATCATTTCTCAATAGTTGTGGAGTAAAACGACAATAGATCAAATTACTGGTCGCAGTGTTGTTAGGTCCCGAACAGAGGAAAAAAGTAGAAGGGTCTGTGCCTAGGGGCACGAACGGAAGCTTGATGTAGCTTGAGTGCACGGAACAAATGTGAAGAGCATTTAGTTCTTTTAATTGATCAATCATTTATTATCTTAACTCTTTCCGTTTTTGAATTGTAGGCGTACAAAATCTGTAGTATTTTTTTTTTTTTCAAACAGAAAGTTGATGAAGAGAATTGATCAAAATCACTTGCATCCCTGCTTCCAAGTTTGGTTACAATATTACAACTCTGGAGAGCATTTTGTGTGGTCGTGGGGGGGGGGCGTATGTTTCTGAACATAGACAAACAGGCACAGATAAATTCTATTCCAACTCTTTACTGTAATAAGCTTGTTGGCCCTGAAAAGGGCCGTTTTGTTGCCAAAGTTGGTGAACAGAGTGCGTCTGTCGCTTCAAAGCGTAGACGACATCCATGGCCGTGACAGCATCACGGATCAGAATTTCCAGGACACAGCACACCTCGTGTTTTCTCGTAGATCAGACCGGAGATACGTTTGACACAGCCACGACGAGCCAGATGACGAGTGGCGGTTATTACGAAGAACCTTGCGATGACGCTTAACGCTTTCTTTACCAAGACATTTTCCTCCTTTGCCACGACCAGTCATTGTTGCTTGTTGGGTAGAAGAGTGGACTACCTAGTCTGTAACCACCTTCCTACTGCTGCTATTGATGCTTCTGCTGCCTGTTCACCACGCCGTCCGAAGCGAAAATGAGTTGAGGCAGCAGCGCTCTTTTATATTTTATCAGGTTAAAGCAGAATTATGTGTAACCAAGTGGTCGATTATGACGACTGGGTTTGGGAAGAACGTTTATTTCATGAAAACAGTGATAAAATTATCACTTTTTATTTGTACATTGGACAATGCTTGACATTACCACTTTTTCAATAGATTCTTGTTTTAAATCATCAGTCGGAAGCATTGTTTTTGATGCGTCGAAATATTTCTGATCGATTGGTGATAAAATTATTGAAATTGGTCCAGGAGCAGCTTAGTTATTAATGTTGAAAATCTTTCATAACTTTGTTACATGTTCCATTTTCGGCTTTCACAAAGTGTTACACAAGTGTACAGTACCCCCATATAGAAATCACAGACGCAGTCCTACGTCATAAAAATATGATTAATTTTGCCATAAGGATATTTCAGTATTCCGGATAGTTTGAGTGGTACAGTTTAATCTCGATGTTGGAAACATGTGGTTTTTTCCGTTACTCTTCAAGCGGGCTTTACGTGAGTTTAAAATTCTTGGGGTTTTTAGTGGGAGAAGAGACTGTTGAAAACCAGATAGAATTGCGTAATACAACTTTTATCGAACGTAAAGCAACTTTTACCAAAGGTTTCAACAGCAGCGCCGGTGGTGTAGTGGTAAGCGTGACTGCCCCTCACTCCAAAGGGCCTGGGTTCAACCTCAGTCAGCGCCGTCGGGATTTCCTGATGCATTAAATTTCTGATGACGTGTTCCTTCGGAAGGGAAGTAAAGCCGTTGATCCCCGGTCCATGAGTTGATGGGTCTATAGGTAGGGTGCAGGTGTGAGAGCTGCCTTCCTGGTGTCGTTAGCATTGGTACTCAGTACGGAAAACAAAGCAAGGAAAAAATAACATCAAATGCTTTCTCTATCCTTTCTACAGTGATGTAAACACTCATCTATTAAAAACGGTTGTGGTATTCCCTTTATTTATTCTGAAATGTTGCTGTTGTCTATTACCCTCTTACGCATACTAAGCGGTAAAAGTAATAGTAGTAATAGTATATAAGTAGCTATATCATAATACACTTTCGCACAGACCAAAATGATTCAGGATACCCAGAGGAAGAAAGCTGAATTACACTTCAATGAATTATGCAGTAGAGTGTTGATGTCTCTGGCGCTTGTCGACGCCCATGTTTTGAGTTTTGGGTGCGGCTTCGAAACCACCATAATGGCAGACTCGACACAGCACTTTTTCACCATACTTTTTGATGAATGAAATATGTGATTAAGCTTACAGTTTAGATCTTACTGGTAGTAAATATATGAATATGGTTAAACCTCTAGATTATACTTTTTGTTTGTATTATTCAATTGGACCACATTTGGGTAAGACTGTCCCGTTTGTCGTGGAAGGAATTATGTTCAAGATGAGACAAAATAAAACAAAGCTACAAAGTGCAACTCGTTACGAAAACTTAAAAAAAAATCCGCTTTTATAGCAAGCGATCTTACCCGGTTTGCTGTCTGCATTCCAATGAAAAAGTTTTACGGTATCAATTTAATTAGGGATTGTTGTCTTGCTTGATTGAATACGGTGTGGGAGAATTAGTATGATGGGAAAATGTTACTCTAACGCTTAACTGCTAAAGATTGTTCAAAGTCCAAGGGTATTTTTTTTTGTAAAAAGCAGCTGTTAAAAAAATCTTTACGGGTGATATCTGTAAGACTAACTAACATTATAGTAAAAAAATGGATGATTTGCAGCAGCTAAAAATGTACAAAAAATAAAAGAAATCTTTGTCGTTTCAATCTTGGTATATAAAATCAGTTACCTCTCTTAGCTTGTAAATAAATAAAAACATAGGTTGTAAAGTTAAAATGTACTCTCTGACATGAATCGTTTGTTTGTTATATACTTATTTCTGTAGGTAGTAAAAGTCTTGAATGATGTTTGTTTGTTGTATGACGAATGTGAATGTTTCCTTTTGGTAGGGTGCGAAGGATAATGTCGAATTGTATTTCTGAAGGGTATAGTATACTTCTAGTAAAGTGAATTTATCGTTTCTGTTCAATAGTGTCGTTAAAACGTCTTCGCCTCCGCCATTTTAAAAAAAAATAATCTCATTGTTTTTCTTGTGATTCAAACAGGCAAATAAATTTGGAGCAAACCTCAATTAAATAAAACATATTAGTGCATCTTAAGAATAATATTCGAATCAAATGGTTCCTACACGATTAGTTGACGGTGCACAAAGGGAATAGATTTCAAAGTTTTGATTAACATTAACAAAACAAATCCTAGATAGAGTTTGGAACGAAACAAACACAATAAAAAGGCTAATTGATAGGTAGACAGAAGTTCTAGCGGGGTCAAGTAAAAAAACTGCCGTATGAGAAAACGCAAGAAAGTAATCAGGAAATGCGGCACACCTAGTTACTGAGGGTGCGTACGTTTTTTTTTCTAGCGTGAATCAGCAAGTGTTCTAAACGTTCACAGTTTTTTTTTTCCAGTCCCGTTGGTCGTCTCTTCACTCTCCTTCAACTCAGTATTCTCAGTTTTCACGTTCGTTTGTACCATCTTCCAGTCTCGTCGGGAAAGTATGTTTTCCCATTGCATAGCTTTGTCCCGAAAAGTGGTAACTTGAAAGTCTGGAAGTCATCAGGCGATGTTCAATGCTTCTTATTATTTTTTCGTGTAGTTCTAGTAGTTGTTGTTGAGTGCAGTTGAAATTTGACGTCCAGACAGGTCCATAGCGTTTTCTTACGTTTTCGTTTCGATCGATGCATTTTTGAAGCAAAGTCTTTGATTTTTTGTTGTTGTTCTTGTGGTTGTAGGTTATTTTGCACAGTCCAAGCGGTCTTCTTTCTGACAGTTCTTCAGAAACGATCTGGGGGCTAGGTACTTGTATTTTATGTAGTGGGAGTACTGTTTGTAGTAGGGTTTGTTCGTTCGTCTCTAGCGTTAAAGTGGTAAAATAGTTCTGCAAAAATAAATTCGTTATATTGGTGGTTTGTTAGGTAGGAGAACGAAAGCTTATGAATATGAATATTTGAAAACATATAAATGACATTGCCTAGGCTAGTAAAGTACGAAATAGTAGGTGTGTGTGTGGGTATGTGTGTGTGATCTAAATCAAAACGGGAAAATGGTATACCATAGTTAAGCTTTGAATTACGAGTTAGAGGAGTTCAGTAGCGTCCAAAATAACGTATATAGCTCTGTAGTAAAAGCTGTCTAAAGTATTGAAGTGCACGTAAACGGATAGGTGAAAATTACACAATTATAATAATTGTCTGTTGATATTTTCTCATGTAGTTACTATTTCTGATCATGGGATTTTCTACAAATCTAATACCAACTAAATAAATACATTTCTCTGGAGGTTATCCAGCGCAATGACGCTCTGATATGCAGGGTAACCTCGAGGATTTAGTTGAACGCTCCTACACGGCAGGTTTTACCACCAAAGGTAACAAGACTAAATCATTGGATGTCAACATGGCCAACTGCCTTCCAACTTTACGGTAGCTGGGAAAGCAAATGACTTGAACACAGTCAGTTGCTTACCAAAAAAAAGTTTTGGAAGGCTAATAAGCACTGCAGAGCAATCATTTTAAATTTTGCATCAGTCTAGTGTCTACTTATTTTAATAAATATAATTCCCTGAGTTTTCCAATAAATAAAATAAATAAATAATATGCTTAAAGGGTGTCTTTCATCAAATTGCATTACGGGAAAAACGGTGTAGAAAATTACCCATTGGGTGTTTTCTCTTGAAAATTTGGGTAGAAGTAGTTTAGAGTGTTTAGTTTACACTGTATTTTTATCGCTGTCAGCTTTTCGAAAGTTGGATAAAATTACATTGGAAAACAACTCGGAATCGTGTAGAAGGGTGAGTCGTCTGATTAAATGTTACTACGAAACTCTGAGCATCTAACGGAAGGAGAAATGCGGTCAGAATGGATGTTCTGTTAGTGATTAGGATCACAAGCGTGTCGTGAAAGCGTTTAAGCGGAATCCCAATGCTTCGGTCAGGGATGTGGCCAAAACGATGAATCTGTCCAAGTCTTTCATTCAGAGAGCCAAGGACCGGGAAGGACTGCATGCGTACAAAGTGCAGAATGCTCCAAATCGTGACGAACGGCAAGATACAGTGGGGAAGTCACGGGCCCGGAAACTGTACACCCAGATGCTGACGAAGCCTCATTGTCGCATCATGGATGATGAGACTTACGTCATGGCGGACTTCCGGGAGCTACTGTTCTTCACCGCCCAGCACAAGTTTGATGTTCCGGAGGAAGTAAGGAAGCAGAAACTTTCCAAGTTTGCCAAGATATACATGATTTGGCAAGCGATCTGCTCATGTGGCAAACGGAGTGCGCCGATCGTGACTACCGGGACTGTACATGGGGAGATCTACCTCAAGGGGTGTCTACAGAAGCGTCTGCTTTCTCTGTTGAAGCAACGCGAGGACCCCACGATCTTCTGGCCGTATCTAGCTTCGTGTCACTATTCAAATGTTGTCCTGGAGTGGTACAAAGCCAACGGGGTCACTTTCGTACCCAAGGACATTAACCCCCCAACTCACCGGAACTAAGGCATATCGAAAAATACTGGACTATTATGAAGCAGGCACTACGGGAGAAATCCCAAGGAGGTCAAATCTGAGGAAGACATGAAGAAAAAGCTGCAGCCAGATGTTGTAAAGAACCTAATGAGTGGAGTTAATCGTAAGCGAGCGTACGGTTATGGTATTGAAGTTGAATAAATATGCCAAAATTTTACTAATATTTTATTATCTGAAGGTTTGAAAAGGGTCGGTCAACTAGGAAATTTTCTACAGCGTTTTTTTTCCGTGATGCAATTTGATGTGGGGCACCCTTTAAATACATACATTTGAAATATTATACAAATTTTCATTTGGTTTACCCCTCGTTAAGATAAACAAATACATTGGTAGCCTTTTTGGCCACAGAGGCGCTTTCATCGCTAAAAATTCGGTTCGCCAACTAAACGAAATAATGGATCATATTGTTAATGTAATATATTTGCTGATATGGTCATTCATGTTGGTTGGTCAGTGTCCTTCATACTCTCCTCAGAATTCCTTTCAAATACTCATAAGAATTCAATTGGTATGATCCTCAGAATTTTCATTAAATTCGTTGCCTTGGAATTCTGCTCACAGCGTAGGAATTATTCTTAGGGTAGATGCATAAATGCAATGCTGTTACAAGATTCTCAAAATTTAATACGCGAAATCCTTGATTTCTCAAAAGAAATCCCCGACAGATAAAAAAAAACTGTTTTCAATGCTTAAAAAGACCATTAGTATTACTACTACATGGCATTTCATGCTTATTACGTACCTGATAGGCAAAATAAGGTGTCAACCTCATCATTTTTTGAATTTCTCTCATTATTTGGTTCAAATTAAATTAAACACACTGTAGCCTTTTTTGATATCTTATTTTTAATATTTTTTTTAAAGTTTCATTTACGGAATACTGAAAAAAAAAGAGTTTTACTTAAAGAAAAAAAAATATTCAAAAAGTGCCCACTCCAAAAATAGATATGTTATCGATAAGTTTCCATCGGAAAACCCCTCGATTGTTTTGTTAAACATGTTTTAAAGCAAACGGCTCGAACCGGTGCAGTTGTACACGTGATCGCATTTGAATCAAATGAAAAAAATGGAGAACTCACAGTGATTTCGAAAGCAATTTCCTTGTGTATCCGAAAATTGGTAGCTGGTGATGTGAATCGCCCCGGGGCTGTCACTAGGAAGTACAGTATCAGCAAGACAGCGGTAGGGAAAATTCTTCTGAAGCTAAAAACGTTAGGATCAGTGGCGGATCGCCCTGCCAGAGGCAGGAAGCGCAAGACGGACGTGAGAACGGACACCAAGATCAGGCGAGAAGTCAAGAGGAACCCGAAGGTAACTGTTGAATAGGGGTTGAATAGCAAAGTTGCCCGAAAGCGCCCATTTATCAGCAAACAATCAAAGCCGAATCGCTTAAGTTTGCTAAGGAGCATATTGATAAGCACCTGGAGTTCTGGAATACGGTTCTTTGGACGGACGAATCAAAATTCAAGCTGTTTGACCGAAAGCGGCGGGTTCGTTTGTGGTGCAGCTCGAATGAAGAGCTTCAGGAGCACCACATCCAAGGTACGGTGAAGCATGGAGGAGGAAATGTGATTGTCTGGGGATGTTTTTTGTTGAGTGGGAAGCCTCGTTAAAATCGACGGGATAATGACGGCCGATTCCTACATCAACATCCTGTGAGGAAAAGCTGAAGGTTTCGCTGATCCAGACGGGTCTTGAAGAGAAGTTCGTATTTCAGTAGGACAACGACCCGAAGCATACTGCCAAGAGGACTAAAGGCTGGCGCACAATGCATAAGTTTCCAGAAAACTTATCCATCGTTCGCCGACCTTAAGTCTTTCTTCCGGTATTGTCGGATCAAATCGCTGAAATGGCCCCACAAAACCCGGACCTCAACCCCATCTAGAATTTGTGGGCGATTCTCGATGCCAGGGTTGACAAAACTGGTGTTACCAATAAAAATAACTGTTTTGAAGCTCTGGAGCGCGTCTGGGAAGAGCTAGATCCACAGCACCTAAAGAACCTAGTGGAGAGCATACCGAAGCGCCTGCATCCGGTCCTGAAGGTCAAAGGAGGACACATTAACTATAAAAAAGCTTTTCTTTTACTTTAATTTACCTTTTCTGGAGCCAAACTGAAGTGGGCACTTTATGTTGCCTATCAATGTATATCATATTAGCTTTTTGCCTGCTCTCAACATAGTGTTCTTTGTAGCACTTCCACATTTTAATTGAGAGCTTGCCTGTACTGCCCATAAAAGCATATCAGTCCCATCTGGAAAATAGCAAGCCGAGAAAAACGCTGCTGAAAATGTATTTCTCCGAAGACTCTTATAGATTGGACAAACAAATTTTGGTATTTTTCACCATATTTTAGTACACAGTGTGAATTACAATCGATTCTAATGAGTAACTCATTTCTGATAAAAATCCATATGGGACTGTTATGCTTTTATGGGCAGTGTACTACCCTATGCCCATGAAGTCGACTAAATTTCCAAACCAAATAATATAATGGACCGAACGGGAATCGGAACAAGCCGCCTCCAACATAAACTTGCTTCGTAGTTGCGCGCCTTGAATTAACTTGAAATTATTGACAACCAAAAGTAATTCTTCTTGGAGGATTTCAAAACAACAGGGAAATTTTAATGGAATTCCAATGAAAATTCCAATGGAATTGCATTCCGAAGTTCGAGGATAGTTTCAACTAAATTTTGAGGAAAGTTTAATAAAAAATCTGAGGAGTATTTGAAGGTTATTACGGTAATATTTTGTTTTGGAAATTGAAAAGAGAGTTACAAGGAAGCTATAAGTAGCATTTCATAGAATTAATGGGAATTCTGAGCAGAACTAAAAAAGGAATTCCTACGATAATTCGGATACGTTTACGGAGAAGATTAGAGTACGTTCCAAAACTAGCAAAAAAATAATTGAAAAACCGAACTTTGAAATAAAAACTAAATGGCTGACACTTCATTCTTCTAATTCTGGGATTTTGGCACTTTGAAAAGTTTATAGATCTTGGACTTGGAGTTCGAAACTTGAAGGCTTTGATATTTTATGAGATCTTAGACGTAAGTAAATGTTAAACTTCAATTTTTAATGGTTTTGATTGTAAAACTGTTATATCTGGACATCGTTTGTAGAAATAAAGTTGTTGTTTTGCCAAAAATAACAAATGTTTTAACGCAATCCGAAAATAGCTTTCTTCTTATAAAACATGAAAATTATCCGAAAAGTTTTGGAAAAACGAGGACAGCTCAGGAAGTTTTATTTAGCCAAATAAGTAGACAATCAGCTAAAATTTTACTTCAATTCGAGGGGTGCGACACATCTCAATCTAAATTTTAGATGGTCGAAAAATCTGATGCT